CTGATATCATTTAATTATGATACTATGCTATGTTTTTACTATGTCATTTGTTTGTTCTAGTGTGCCACTTTTCATTTTAACTTTAAATAATAGCGAAGTCATCCGCACACCGTTTGAGACTTTTCTTCTGCCATATTTTGTCAATATAGGTATCATACTTATCCCAGTAATATAGGACTATATTACCCGTGAAAACGCGATATGATTTACAGGTCGTGACTCGTGTAGACCGTCGAGCGTGAAGGGATGAGACAGGAGCCATGATCAAGATCCAACATGAGTGTTAGATGTTTAAGGGTCGGTAATCACTTAATACCGGTTGAAGGACCTGCTCGCTTATTAACTGCTCACATGAAAATATTGTGTGTATGTGGGAAAGTCGACGGATGTGGGTGGCACAGGATCGTGCTTCATGGCAGGCTGTGGGGGAGGCCCTTTTTATATTTTTTTGGTATCGTGGGGGGAACTCTTCGAAAGATACCCTGCGACAGGGTTATGTGGGATTCTTACCCACTAAAACCCCTTCGGTGTCCACCCTCTGTGTATTTGGAGGGACTCTGGGATCTCCTATGGAACGCACCGGTGTCCCTCGGTACGCCTGAGCATGCCTCGGAGAAGGATATACCTTCTTCCGATTCCCTCACCCTCTTGCAGCAGCACGGCACCACTTCATGCTGCTGCCTTTTACGACAGGCAGGGGATACCGTAGCCCTATTCTATGAGCCCGGGACTACAGGGCTGCTGTGGAGGAGGCCTATGTTCAGCAGTGGACTCAATCAGGCTGAAATGCAATTACGCTTTAATTTAATTTAGTAACGTTTTCTTCTTCACATTTATACTCAGTGGGTTTTGTAATGATCAATAATACCGTCTAAGATGAGAACTGTAATATTAAAATAGCTTCTTCTTGTGATTCAAAAGTTTGTGCCAATACGCCAACGTTTTCAGTTCTTGAGCATGAACAAACCATTGGGGTTCGTTATTGCTCTAAACTTCTTTTGCGATCATTCTGTGTAGAAATTGGTATGATAAATTATATTTGTAATTCTCGTCTTAGTAAAGGAAGACCTTGTATTGTTGTACAAAAAGAAAGGCCCGCTAGAGTTTAAAATCGAAAATCTGACAGTTATACTATAGACCGTAGATACGTAATTATAATTCAATTAGTTAGAGAGTGTATTAAGAGCTGAAGTACGAGTACAACAAAGGAAATTCTTAATGGTTAGAAGTAAAACTGATACAAAAATATTTTGGCTACTTTCAGGTATACACGTTGTGAAAGACGACGACACAGGCACCTATTTTCTTCAGATCGTTGCTCCTCTGTTGTTTTTAAGTTATGCCACCGTGCAAGCCGTTCAGCGATGATAAGTAAGTAAGCAAATATTTGCTCTCCACCAAGGGGATATAATGTGCTGTAAATTTTTATATGCATAGCATATTAGCAACGATTAATAATTTCTTCCTGATCTAAATTCTTTCCCAGAAAATTATGCTTGAATTACAATTAAAGAATAATTTTTCTACGACGCTATAATAAGTAGGACCACGCAACAGTTCTGCACAAATGGGCTGGTCCGTCCGGGTAAGTATCTCGACCTGACAGAAGACCTGCGTGAAGTGAATGTATTATACTTCTGCGTTTCGTCTGGTGAATGAGACAGCCGGGGCCCACTTTATTAAAAGTTGGCAACGCATCTGCAACCCTACGGGTGTTGCAAATGTCAATGGGTGGCAGGTATCATTTAACATCAGGTGAACCATCTGCTCGTTTGCTACTTTCTCACAAAACAAAAAGTAAAGAAGGTACGCAACCTGTGTAGTGAGCAGACAACACAATTAGGATCTGTAATCGGGCATTGGCACAGTTGCTTGCTGAACAACGTTTCGAGGTTTGTACATCTGTGCGTGTCCAATTGACAAACGGTGTTCGCCAAACGTCTGGCAGGGTGACGCTGTTGGCAGCGTTTGACACCAGCCCGCCAGTTACAGTGTAAGACGCGCGCGCGCCGGGCGGATCGCTCCCTACGCTACGAGAGGCGGTATAGCGAATATATACCCCGATAGTTCATTCATCGACGCCTCAGTTCGAAAGTGTGTTGGTGTTATTGAATTAAATCGGCATTGGATATCGATTTTGCGGAGTCTATCCTGTGAATCGAAAGCACGGCCAGGGAAGTGGAACGAAGGGCGATCTCGGGGTAGGTCTTATGTTTATTTACTTATAAAGCTTAATAAGTGTAGAGAAGCCAGTAAAGCTATTGCTGTTTAGAAAATTGACTTGGCAATAATGGCACATGACGACTTTTTGTATTAGCAAATTATTTCGGTAATTTCGGTTCAGTGATGACAAGCCTTACAAAAAATTTTATAGTCGTTTATTTGAAAAAAATAGTACGTTCTACCTTCAATTTATCTCACATTTATATTTCAATGAATTCTTCTACGATTTGCACTGTCACCCACACATCAACAGCCATCTCAATCCGCCTATTACACAGAAGCTAAACACGATGTTAAATTTTACGCGGGACGCGCAAGACGGATTATCAAAATATATTTGAAGCCATTTATTATCGCGTAAAAAAAAATTAAACGGTTTTTATTTTAAATCAAAGTCTTAGCGGTGACCGCTCATCTTTCAAGATGATCGCATATAACTATAAATAAGTGGCGTAGTCGGTCTGTATCATCGCTGAAACAAAACCGATTGCAAGTCGATGGAATTACGTATTAATTTAAAGTATAAACACGCGAAGGGATCAAAGAAAACGATTTTGGCATCAGATTGGGTGCTGCGTATAAAAAATCGCCACCACCGATAATATTTCATTTGTTAAAACCTTTACTGGTAAGGTAAAAACTACTCCTGGTCGCATTAATGATGAATGGTCTATCGTATTTTTATTATTGACAATAAATACATAAGAAAAATAATCAAACTCTGACATTATTGAATGATTTAGTTACTGATCTTTAGTAAAAATAATAAAAGCCTCTCTTTGAAGAATCTCATTAAAAATTACAGGAACTTGTTTTACGGCTACCGTAAGCTTCATCTAATGGTTCCTTCGACGTATGTTAACATTTTGTGTTGAAAAGACCTATATAATTCCACGAAATTTCTTTAAGTAAATCTTTTTTAAGCTCGGAATCGATCCGAATTGAGTTTCATCGCTAATAAAATGTTAGTGGTAGTCAGCATCGGTGAATAATTCACACGCGAAACGTCTTAATGTTCCATTTTCTCGTTCAACCGAGTGTTATCAGAATTTGTGCGCTTAGCTAAAAATGTTTTTTTTATTAAATACGATTAAAGTACATAAAAGGATATATAGGATATATATATTATACATATCCTTTTAAAAGGATAGATATCCATAAAAGGATGTTGTGATCGTTTTGTATTCTACATAACAGGACGAGACAATTATTCTAATGCTATCCTAATTTCGGCACTTTTGTATTGAGCACCGTATTGGGATAAATAAATTGATGATAAATAAGATAAAGTCTTAGAACGTTATTGATTTTCCTTTCTAATGATTCTAATTCAACGTACGCCATTGATGGTGCTTAGCATGTTATAACTGTTCTAACGTAATTAAATCATCATCATCATTTTAGACTATTTGCGCCCACTGCTGAACATAGGCCTCCCCCACAGACTGCCACGAAGCACGATCCTGAGCCACCTGCATCCTCGACTTCAGCACATTTGCACAGGTCTTTACTCCATCATGGGAGGTCGTTCTACACTACGATGGCCAATACGAGACTGGCAAAATAAATACTTTAAATCAATTCTCCAATCGAGATTGAATACGTTAAATTAATGGGATGGTACTTACATTACGGCAACCTGAGTGTCAACGTGAGCAGGCCGGGGTAAAGAAACGTACCAAATTCTGGTACGGCGAAGTACGGCCTCATAGAAAACGTGTGAACGTTGAAGTGTTTATGCTGACTTTTCGAGTGGTGAGTGAGGTAGCCGTGGCTGTTATGCGTTGGCACCACACGTGTAACACCTTTGATGTCGAGGGTGTATATAGTCGGTTATCATGTAAGATGTGAAACGCTTGTTTACCATCCTTTTGAAAGGAAAAATATTTTCATATTGTATTACTAACGCATTACGGATTTTGTCGTGTTTAATTTTGAAGTTGTTTTGTGTATGGATATTGGTACTGGAACGCAGTACTTCATTCGTTGATTAGAGAGAAAGCAAGAAAAGTAGTTTTTAAAAAGTTATTTTTTTACTTCCAATACCAAAGTAATAGAAAGAAAATTAATGAAAACATGACTAATTATAATTTTCAAGTGAATAATTTTCTATTGAATAATTATAATTATATATTATATAAATTACTTGTGTACACATAATATATTGTATAAAAACAATCACGACTATAGTATTTTGCATAACCGCGAACAGCAACGATCTTTACAGTGTCCAGAAATAAAATCTAATATATCTAAACTTTTATCAAATGGCTATCGTTTCATAATTATTTCATAATTAATCTTCTTCCTTTTTCTGCCTTTATCTCACCTAGGTGGGGTCATCATTAAATGTGTTGTAATGTCATAAGCTGAATGATGTATTTGATTTCGAAACATTGCCAGACAGCTTTACATTCTTGCAGATGTTATTAAAGGGTATAGGGAAGGGCAATAAATTATTAGGAGTTAATTAATTAAAGCCCAAAAGAAAACTGGTCTTCGCACGTCATAAAATTATGTACGAATTTACAACATAATAATTTACAAACAAACAGCTCGCAATTGGCTCTTTACAATCGCATCACTGCCGTGACAATACCGATGGTTTATTATAGCGGTGAACGATCAACTCTTTTTGTTTTGTTATTTTTCGGAAACCCTTTAAAAAATAGCCCGTTTGCTGGATCGAGTTCAGTTTTCCAAAAGCCCTTCAGTCTAAATCTGGCATTTAGAGGACCGGAAAGAAGCGTCTCCTGTTTATTAGAGGCATTTCATCAATCATCATCGATCCAATCTCCGTGTGCATCCATCCAGGCTAAATTGCCAGAGAAAAGTGTCAATTTCCTAGGCTCCATTAGGCATGTGCTCCACTGCACTGAGACTGAACACCCAACAGTACAAACGCTAGCATTGCATCGCGCGCGAATCGCCGGGCGCGACACGGGACGGCGCGCCACTGTCACAGGCGCTGCTACGTCTAAAAATACTGTGATCTTGGGTTTTATAGCCGTTTTACGTGAACCGTGCACGCGATACCGCGTCTGGAGGACCGCTCTGGATTTATTCGACGCGGGTGCGTGTGAGATCATCCGTTGGTTCTTAAATAACGCCGCGTCATCCGCGATACGTCGATAGTGAAATATCGACGCGGCGGGTGACGGCCTCGCATGCGCTTTTTGATTCTGTAATGCGATTAAGAGATACCGCACGTTGCAGGTGCTGGTTTCATTTGAATGATGCCAGTGCATCTGTAACTTATGATCGCTTTTTCATCTGGTATTTTCAGTCTTTCTATGGCCCTTTTTAAGAACAAGTTAAGAAATTACAAATTATTGGCAAATAGTTGCATAGCTTCGATCTCTTTTTGATCAAAATTAAGTGAATTTACTTACAGAAGTCGAGTAAAGCGACCATTAAGAGAAAGATGAATAAATGAAGCTCGTGATAGGCTGCAATACTTAAGAGGTATGATGTAGCAGAAATAGATGAAGGAAGAATTAGACAATCAATGGAAGGTTAGATAAATCTAAGATCAGTGCTGGAGGCTGATTAATTAATGCTGGGGACATGTGAACCTAGTATTTCCTGAACGCCGCTTTTTGAATTAGAAATAAATAAGGAATAAAATTTACATAGAGCTTTGGAATTGTAACCTTGAACTAGAAACTATGTAATTGTGAACCAAATTATGAAGACGAGGAGTTGAGTTACGATAGGGTTGAGTTCATTTCAATGTTTATTTCTATTGTACTACGTCATTTCTATTGTCTATTAAATAGAAATGTAAATTATATCCTGTCTCAAATGAATCATGTATGATTAAATGCTTTTGTTTGAGTTTAATGTCCTGTACTTATTAAACGAAAAGTTAGGAAAGTAGATTGAAATATTCAATGGAAAATTGATTTAAGTCTATACACGATTATGATATTCGTTTTAAGTCCTACGAGATAAAAACAATCCAGCAAAATCTCGTATCCCCTGAGTTAACCAGTCCAACACTCATAGTGGCGGTAAACACCTTGGGTGGCGTAGACAGTCCTAATAGCCAAAATAGTGGCTAAAGTTGTCACCATGTGGCATTTATTTTCTCTTTGTCGTCCATCATTGCCATGGTTCAACGGGTTTAATAATACTTTTATCATCAAAGTGTACCACTTCACGGCATTTCTAGATCCTGCAATGATCTAGAAATTTTGATTTATTTATGAAAACGTTAAGATCTTCAGAAGAAAATCTACGTTTACAAAATTACCAAGAGGAAAACTGACAGTCAAATATGAATTTTTTCTGTTGTACACAGAAACATATTGATAGAAGTATCTATATATTATTACTGGGCCGTGATAGTCCGGGCGCTCGCCTTTAATTCAATATACTCGAGCAACCTGAGTTCGATCCCCGGTGCCGGCACCAATGAAGTTTTTAACTTTAAGTGCTGTCTTATCACGTGCTCCGCGGTGAAGGAAAACATCGTGAGGAAACCTGCATATTTTCGAAATAGTAATAAAAAAAATATATTTCGAAGATAGTGTGAAGTCCGCCAATCCGCAGTGGGGCCGCGTGGTGGACTATGCCCTAATACCCTCTGTATAGAAGAGGCCTTTGCCCAGCAGTGGGACATGTATAGGCTGTTACTTTACTTTTTTTTTATCTATATATTTCTGTTTGAAAATAAACACAAAATTCTTGCCAAAATATGTGACGAATTTATTGAGAACATTTACAACTGTATCAGCAAAATCCTTGATCTTAGCAGGTGGTTTCCTATCAGATTGTAAGCAACACTCTTTTGATGTATCCCGTCATGTTTGATGCTGATGGAGAATATCAGGTTTTCGCAAAGTGTTGGTGATTCCGCAGATATCCATTTCGTTGATATCCGTTTCGCAAAAGCGATAAATGTTGAGTAGCTGAAAGAGGACGCGAAGCATATTTGTAGTATCGAACATGAATAGACGTAACGGAGATGTTTCATTTATTTCTAAAAAGTCTGCCAACTGCATAACATATTCATCAGAAGTTTTAAAACCCAATTTTATAAACATTTCTTATGCGTTAGCCAATTTTCTTTTGGAGTTACGTAAATTACTGTCTATTCTCTATTTTCGCCTTCAGTGTTTTATATGGCCGAAGTCAAAATGTTTCAATTCATATCATAAATATACCACTTACTTTTCCATTAGTTGATATAGTGTCTTCTAAGCGAATAAATGAATATTTAAATATTAATATTTTTAAATACGTATAGCAACAGTTGCCTTATTACTTTAGTAGAAAAACAACAGCTTCCATATTATCTTAGCAGCAGTCACGCGAATATGCCATCTCAGCCGGGGTAGTACCACAGTCTTATAGAAGACCGGCCTTGAAGTAAACATGTTTGGATATTTTTGTATTATCAAATGAGTTTCACTGGTTGGCATCGTGGAGAAAGTCCTCTGGTGTTTTCTTTTCTTCCGTATTTACAGACCAGACATTTCTAACCAACGTTGTACTCTCGTATACGGATAAACTTCAAAGCCTCCGAAGTCTCGCTGTTTAGCGATCGTTAATGAAGGAAAGATAAAAATTGATGTGGAAGTAGAAGTGTAGTAGAATAGAAGTAAAGTGGAAGAAGTAGTGCGATTTTCTCCTTTACGTCGGTCATACACGCTACGGTCTACCGAAGAGGTCATCCTGTACAGGTATGTCTGCGCAGATGTCACTAGAAAGAACTGATTTTCGAACTTGCGCCGGTCGCCTGCACAAGTTCAATCAACTGCCCAGGTCTATTCCCAAATACGCTCCGGTTTACCTGCACAGGTAGACCTCTACGGTGTACCGTAGCGTGTATCCTCTTATCCTTTAAACGAGCAATTCTTATATATATATATACAGCGTGTCGTTACCATCGCGACAATAAATGAACACACATATAAGGGATAACTTTTTAAAGTTGTATTAAACATTTAAATCTTTAAACATCTATATTTACAGAGTTAATTAATTTTCCAAAACAAAGAATTTTAGAACACCCTTACCTATAAAAGCGTAACGTAAAGTTCATTTGTAAAGGTCACAAAGCATATGAATGGGTTGAATGAATTTAAAAGAGACACAACATACTGTTAGAAGGAGAGGCTTGTAATGCGACGCTGTGGCGCGAGTTGTATAGGATGTTACAAATTTTGTTTCTTTTTTACTTAATTAGTTTGTTTGAAAAAAATTTTTTCTTAATTATGGATTTTGTTTAACGATAATATTTTTTATGATTATTGGCAAGTGGCGTTAGACGTGTGTTCATTTATTGTCGCGATGGTAACGACACGCTGTATATAATCGGAATCTCGGAAACGGCTCCAGCGATTTTCATGAAATTTAGTATGATCCGTAGATTCGGGGGCGAAAAATCGATCTAGCTAGTTTTATTTTTATAAAATGTCGTTTTATCCCTGTTTTCAGGGAATGTAAAATATCATTCGAATATGACGGTAAATTTCGTCGCAAAAAAAATGTTATAATAGCTCGGTCGATAATCGGGCGGCCCCAAAACAGACGGCCGTGATTCGTGTCACGATCATTTACACACTCTTTTTTTTACTTTTTTTTCGATTCCAGATCATTGCTTTCTTTATTTTTTGTTGATCCAGATGATTTTGTTATTTTTTTCCCTTTTTTTTAAAGTTGTTTCTTTTGTGAAAAACACCACTTCATATTTTCTTATTATTAGGTTAGGTTATTAGGTTGGTAAGATCGAAAAATATTATGCATATTTTATTACTCAGTAATTTGTATCTAAATGTAATTTGCAAAATACACTATTTACCAAAAAAAACAAACCGAACAAAGCTCAGTCCTCAGGTACTGGCGTACATTATATTTGTAGAAATACATTGCCTCATTACTGTATCTTTTTTTATCACGGGAACATTTTTAGGTAGTTTTAAAATCTTCAGGATCGAATTATAATTAATTAAAAAAATTCATATGACTTAAAATTTCCTTTTCAATAACCAATGCTCAGAAACTTCAAAATTTGGCACCTGTCGGGGACACAGATCTCTCACTATCTCTGCCTCAGATATAATCATTTAGCTTGTTTTTAGTATCGAATTGTCAATGGAGGGAGCGTCGGCGTCCGTCAGCTGTTTATCAAACATCGGTGTCCGGTTATGGCGCACTTGACGCGCCGTGGGCTCCGATGCCTTTTGTAAACATCCACCTTGCGTTCGTGTCATGTGGTCCTGGTGAGCGTGGCTCGAACACGGATTGTCATACATGCGATCGCGGTAAATTGGCGATTCTCGTATCAAATTCCGAAGTTTCGATAGAGAAAGACGTATAAAATTAAACAAATTTTGACTATGCGTGGCTTTCATTAATTAACCGACATCAAATTGGGGGATGTTCTCAATTGCACTGTATTTTTTTTATGTAGAAACAATTCGGCCTGACAGACATAAAATAGCAGTATGCTTGGGTTACATCCTTGAAAATCTGAGCGTACGAAGTAAAGTTGTTAAGTAAGCACCTGATGTTGAGTGATAATTCCACCCATGGAAGTCTACAACAGCTGAGGGCTTGCAGATGCGTTGACGCATCATGAAAAAATGGGCCCCGGTGACCTCACTAATGAGGAGTGAAACGTAAGAGTATAATTCCACTTAGGCTGGTCTTCCTTGAGGCCGTGGTATTTCCCGGACGTGTCTGCCCATTCGTGCAACAGCAAAAGCTGTTGCGTGGCCAACAACAGTGTACATTTTGTTTTAATCTATTTAGGTGATTGTTGTTTTTTCATTATATTACGATCACACACACTCATGATTAACGCATAACGCACAATCAATCGATAAAATTCATCGCTGAGATTATAAAAATTAAAAAAGCATCATGTATTAATCATAATAATATTTTCGTTGCAAAAATCAAACGATGCATGTTGCAGCTTTATTGATGCCCTCGATAAGTAGTTTAAAACGCCATACGCAAGCATCATTTTGATTCATGTCATATTTTTAACGTTGTAATATTTCATCGAATTTATTAAAGGAACGTTCTCCTTTATGCGAGCTTTTATATTTACGACTTCCATCTTGATCGTATGAAATACTTATTAACACCCTATCGGATTTTTTTTTTCATTTCTTTTGGAAACCTAATTTGATTTCTATTCGAAAGATAATGTACGTACTTATTAACACCCTATCGGCACCGTATTAATACTATAACAAAACTATACGTTTTTGTCATCCTTATATATAGATAC